TAATAATGTATATTTTAAAAAGTGCTCAATAGATAAACCTGAGCTATATAGTATATATATTACTGTTACCCGCAGTATCAGGAATTAGCTAAATTCTAATATTTATAATATTATATTTTGACTTCAAGTTTCATGTGTCAACAAATCAGCCCAACAAAGTGTATATTGGATTAACGGAAGGCGTGTGGAAAAACAGATACAACAATCACAAATCATCATTCAATAATGTTAAATACAAAAAGTCCACCGCCTTATCAAACTATGTCTGGGATTTGAAAAACAATTTTAACGAAACCCCAATATTTACATGGTCTATTCTGAAATCTGTACCCCCTTACTCAAATATTTCCAAAAGGTGCCCACTATGTCTATACGAGAAATTCGCAATTATATCCTATCCTAAACCTGATGAACTCCTAAATAAACGAAACGAAATCATATCAAAGTGCCGCCATGAAAACAAGTTTTTATTAAAAAACTACAAAGCTGGCTACAAACATAACTAATCACTAACATTAACTACGCATCCCTATTTCGTACACCTCTAGGCTAACCAATAAATTATTCACCTACATAGCTTTTGTAATATATTTTGTAATATAATTTATATTCTTATACCCACTTTTGAAACTTATTTTTATATTCATTTATTTTTAATACGATAATTTTTAAAAACAATTCACATTATTATTAAATTATATTTTTATAACAGACATTAAAACATACAACAACTTCACATTTATTACCCAAAAACAAATTAATAATAACATTAACCTTAACTACTAAACAGTTTCCGTCCCATAGCGATCTAAAATACTAATATAAACCATAAATTTTTCCTAAACACATTGTAGCAAAATTAACTTTTGACTACTCGCCTGATGATTGTGGTAACACATGAAACTTTAAGTCGCAATACAATATTATAAATATTAGCATTTAGCTAATTCCTGATCTTGCGGGTAACAGTAATATATATACTATATATATATATATATATATATATATATATATATATATATATATATATATATATATATATATATATATATATATGTATATATATATATATATCGACTTCAATCTTATAGAGGTTGGGAAATAAAGTTTAATACAAAGGTCTTACTATAAAACATCGAAACGAGGTTGGCAAGTTTTTGGCGACCTCAAACAGTTTTAGGTCGGCATTGCCGAATGCCAACCCTAATTCTGAGGGCTATATATGTTTATATATACATACACCATATATATATATGGTGGGTGTTTGCCATCATCTGCCTCCACCCTTGTGAAGTCAGTTTACACATGCGAAACAAGCTTGTGCAAATTCACAATTATTTTTTTTAATCAGCAAAATTTGGTATTTTTTAGGTTGAATCTATTTTAATTACATAAACAAAAATAGTAACAAAAACATCATATTTAATGACATTTATATTAGAGTGCCTCTAAAAACAACTTTTTTTGAAATTGTCTGCTGCCACCCCCTACATTTGTTCTATGTAATAAATTAACACTAAATTTAAAAAAATTTTGAATTTGTCGCTCAAGACCCTTAAACATAAAACAAATCCCTAATATTTTGAAAAAAATAGTTCTTTAAAAGTATATCATGTTGGGTCTCAAAAGAAGTGAAATAAAAATTTATAAAAATTTCAAAAATAATAATTATTTTATATAAAGATTACTAGTTTAAATTTTATGGCTTGAAACTATCATTTTTTAGCAAAAAAATAAAAAGTACATATTTTCAAAGTTTTTTTTAAATAGACTTTTTTAATTTGTGTTTCCATAAATTGTTTTTATTATTTTTATTATTTTATTATGGTAATTTATTACATAGAACACACATAGGAGGTGGCAGCAGACAATTAAAAAAAAGTTTTTTAATTGTCTGCTGTTTTTAGAGGCTCTATAATATATATATATATATATATATATGTGTATATATATATGTGTATATATATATATATATATATATATATATATATATATATATATATATATATATATCAGTCTTTTCTGTTTAGACAGTGTTTTCATGCTTAAGCCTTTTCACTCTGGCGAAAATTTGGCAAGCACATGAAAAAATGCTTGCCAGAAAAATTTTGTTGAAATTTTTAAAAAGTTGCTTTTTTAAAATTTCAACAAATCTTTTTTAATTCATCAAATATTTTTATATAAAAATTGTGAAAACTCTCTTATGTATCTATTTTATTTAGAGTTTTAATAAAACATACCTTTTGTTGTTCTTAAAGTAATTAATTTATTTAGGATTTAAATGATTTTTATTTTTTTGTCGTTTTCTTTTTTTTAATATTTTATCTAGGATTCAAATTAAATGTTTGGTTTGCTGGTATTTTTTAATTACTTCATTTAGAATTTAAATAAAAAAGTCTTTCTGTTGTTTTTTTTATTTATTTATTTTAATTTTTTTTTATTATTATTATTTTAGTACTTTCAGTTAATGTTTTTAATAACACATTTGTCTTTCCATTTTTATTTTAATTATTTTATTTAATGTTTAAAACATTTTTTATTTTCCACTTTTACTTTAATTATTTTTTATTTATTTATTTTGTGTGTGAGCTGGCATTAAATTTCAAACGAAGTTTATTATGGTTGATATAACAAGACTGAGCCCATTCTACAACTTCTATTATGTAATCAATGTTCTGTATGTCCAGTAAAATTTTATATACATTTTTTTCTAGCAATATTACTTTTTTAGAGAAATTTTAATTGAGGAAAGTAATGTGCAAAGAGTTGATTCACCTGTTACTGTAAGTTATAAATCTGTGTTTTTATAATCTGTTTTTTGGTGGAGCCGGAGCCACAAAAATTGAGCGGCTCTTGGCTCTCATGTTTTTTTTTTTAAAGGAATAGATTGTATTTTGTTTTTTTACTGTATATGAACTTTATTAATTTGTTTAACTAATTTGTTGAATGAATTATTTATTGAATTTTTATTTTTTTTAAATACTTTTTCTAACAGTTACGGTCTTGTCAAAACTTAATAAAAATGATTAATTTAACAATTTTGTACTCAACAAAATAGTATCCTTTAATTTCTTAATATGCTTTATTAAAAAAAAAAAAAAGTTATATATAGAAACATTACTGTATTACATATATTGCTTTATATTATATTTTTATACTGATACTATGCTGTTAAATATTTTATGCACAATGTTATGACCAAAGGTTATTCATATTTTTAAAATTATACTAAAGCATGCATTCGTTAGATTTGAAACGATGAATTTTGTTTTAAAACTTGTCACTAACACATTAAATTTTTTTTTTTTTTTCGCGTAATTACATTACAAGTAATTATACTATTAATTAAAGACATCAATAAATGAGTCAAAATGTTTCCCTTAATTAAAATGTCATTGAAACAGTTAGAAAAACGAAAAAGAATTCTGCACAACTATCTACAAAATCCTTCTGCATCGTTACTTTCAATCGCTAAAACATTTGAATCTAGCAAAACTACTGTTTGTATGGTCATAGAACAATACAAGAGCTCTCTAGCTGTCGAATGAGCACAAGGATCTCAAAGAAAGAGTGGTTTTAAGGATAAGAAAGCAGCAATTGGTATTTGACGATCATTTACGCAAAATCCCAGCTTATCGAATAGAGAACAAGACAAAATGTATAAAGTTTCAGAGTTTTTTAAAGATTAAAATTTGGCAAGCAATATGCAGCTGTGGTTTGTGATCTTGAGCTTTTGTCACATTGTCAACTTTAAACTCTGATGTTTACATCAAAGAATACTTGCAAGCTAGACTTTTGCGATTTTATCAAAGTCACGATGTCCCCTGTTGGTTCTGGCCTAATCTTGTTTCTTGTCATTATTCTAAAAAGAGTGGTACAATTCAAGAGACATCAAATTCATACCAAAAAGCTTGAATCCATCAATCTGCACACAGTTCTGTCTCATTGAGAAATTTTGGGGATTTGGCAAAGAATATTTGCGTAAAAGTGGCAAAACAATAAGTACAGCTAAAGATTTGATTAGACAGGGGACATTAGTAGGAAAAAAAATTGCCAAAGACACTGTGCAGAAGTTGATGTCATTGATTAGTGTAAATGTTTGCTTATTTATTTGAAATAATGAAAATATTAAAATAAAAAATACTTTTATAATCTTCAAGCTCTTTAGATTAAACTAAATATTGAAGTTTTTGCATTAGTTGAATTATTTTTCTTTTTTTTTTTTTGAATTTAACGATCGCATGTTTACCCAGTAGGCACGGGACTCGGTAAGGATATATGAAAGACATCTTTTAAATGTCTTTTGAACATTTTGGATGCCTTTTGAACTTTTTCTTTTCTAATGTAATATCCTGTAGTAGAGTAGTGATAGTAATACAATAACCTTGTAATCATGAGAGTTGGTTAAAAATTAATTGCTTTAATTGGTTTGGATTTGGGTTGGCAAATGTGATCAAAAAAAAAATATTCCAAAAGCTTTCGATTTTAGTTCATAAAATTTAGGAACCGGGAGCTGAGCCCGAGCCAGATACTTCTTAGGAGCCGGAGCCGAGCCGTGAAAAAAACATTCGACTCCACAAGCCGAATGTTTTTTTATTTGATATTAACTATAAATTTATTAAATTTTTAAAAATGGAGTTTATTTAGTAAATTAAAAATAGTTTTTTATTTGAACTATTGACATCAATAAATTTTTTTTATTATGTCAGTGAATGATTATTTCATCATTAAGGTTATAAAATTAAACATTAAAAAAAAAACAAAAAAACATTAATATTATTAAAATTTTTGTAATGTTAATGAATGACTAAAACTTTATTATAAGGTGTGTGGAGATATCCATGGACAGTTTTATGACTTGAAAGAACTTTTTAAGGTAATCTTTTATTATTATTTACTATTTTTTTATTTGAACACCATGGAACTAGAGTGCTTTTTATTATGCCATTGGCCAAACCAGTATGTATACACTATAGCCAATATTTCTTAAATAATAATGTGAATCAAGTTGCTAAGCTCTATAGTGGTTTTTAATAACTTCGTTGAATGAATTTTAAATATTTTTCACAAAGATTTTAAAGATGCATCTACATACATTTACAGATTTTTTATATATAGTTACTTCATTTTATTAGATTTTATTTTTTCTTATTTATTTCTTCATTATGCTTAGGTTGGTGGCGATGTTCCAGAAACCAATTATCTTTTTATGGGGGATTTTGTTGATAGAGGATTTTACAGTGTGGAAACTTTCTTATTACTTTTAGCACTTAAGGTAAATTAATTATTACCATTATTTTCTTTTAAAACATAATTATTTTTTAAAAGGTTATAATATACTTTATCAATGAACATCCTAATATCTACATTTATATTAGACTTGGTCAAGACCTTTATACTATTAATTTGCTAATAACATATAAAATAATGACAGCCTTGTGGAGGGCAGTGTTTAGGAGAAGGCATTAAAAAGGAACGTATTTTTGGAACAAATTCTATTTTTAACGATCAAAGCTTTGAACTGGTTTCCTTTAAAATAACAAAACAAGGAAAGAGAATGAATGCTTTTTTTAAAAGAACGTAAACAAAAAGTTCCTAAAAAATTTTTCAACTCTGCATTTTACTATAATTGTTTTTACTAAAAAAAAAAAAACAAAGCATTAGCGTCAATTGACATACTAATTTTTAAACAATATTAGTTACCCATATAGTTTTAAAGTTTGCATGTAGCCAACAAAATCCGAAAAAGTATAAATTAAAGTTAAATATTATTGCATGCGGTTCTAGTTAGCAAAATGGATCCAATTATTGAAATTCTTAGTAATATTGCAGTTATTAAAAATGGTTAGTGATGACCCATGTAATAATAATACTGAAATTAGTGGTATAAAATATGATCTCGCTTTTTATCTATTTGGTTTGACTTAAGTTTATTGTTTATGAAGTAAAAGTTTCAATTAAAAAACGAATTAAATCACTTGTGAATCAAATACGCCTCATTACACCATGTTCAATGTTATGAATTTTTTGAATTTGCTAAAGTTTCAAATTTGATTAACTTAATGATAAATCCAGTTCAACAAGTTTATTCATTACTAGTATTTTATTAACAAGAAGAGAGGGACTTATTTGTTCAGTTACTACAACATTTTAGCTGTGATAGTGATACACTTGACTTAATTGCAAAAAATGATGTACAGATTTCAGAAAGCTATTTAAAGAAAATTGATAGAAAACATTGGGCAAGTTTTCAACATTTGGAGTAAATAAAATATATTAAATAGAGATGCTGAAAAAATTCATAATACACTAGAAACTTGTTTTAAAATACCAATAATAAGATACCTACAATAGTTAGTTACGAATTTAAAATATTTGTTTTGAGTCTATTGGGTATAACAAAATGAACGATATAGTGGAACGATATCATGAAGTATCAATGTTGATGAGGTATTTATTACCTAAAATTTATGCTATGGATAAAAAAATTAATTACTTTGTAACAAAAAAATACGAACTTTTCACTTGTCAATACAGTAGATACTTCAATTCATACTCAATTTAATACTTTATGGAAAGAAAAAAAAAAACTGATTTTACCATCAGGTTTGTTACCCCCATTTTAAACTATTATGGCTTGATGGCGTCAACTGTTTCACAGCAAAAATCTGCTTAAAATTAATGTTTAAAAATGTGGATTTACTACCATATCATGTGATAGCAATTAATAATGAGTTCTGGTGTTGAGGAGTTGGAGTTATTTAAAGTCACAATCAAAAGAGTTAACTGTATTATTATTATACCGATCAGTATTTAAAGTCTTTTTAGAACATCTCTTTTGTTGAGTGCTGAGTGGCTATTATCAACAGGGTCTAATGTGATGACTGAAAAAAGACATTTGGGTGATATTTAAAAAATTAATTTTACTAAAACAAAATAAAATAGGTGTTTAAAATTTTCCTTGCCTTTATATTTTTTAATTTTTTTTTTTTAATTTTTCAATAAGGTTTTTATATTGTATACTTTTTGCACCAAGCTGAAATTAATATATCATTTATATGTGTATAAATTATATGCAAATGCAGACTAGGCAGGCAGGACGCCAGAAATATTTAAAAACTATTTAAAATGAATAACTAAACAAAACACGTTAAAAAGCATCACTTGCCTAGCGAAACAATAAGTTTGCTTCCATTTTGTTACAAATGTGGCGTAACTAATAAACATTTTTTAAAGAAAAAATATGTATTAAAAAAGGAACAAAGTAGGAATGTGGAGCGGGTTCCTTTTTTTAGAATGAAGAACTTTAACTAGTTTTTATTTTACAGAACAAGATCTTTTTGAAAAAGAACACTGGTGGAGGGTTATGTATGTATTAAAAGATTCAATTTTTACTTATACTAAATTATGTTTTTTTCTTTACTTTTAGGTTAGATATCCAGATAGAATAACATTAATTAGGGGCAACCATGAAAGTCGTCAGATTACTCAGGTGCTAATTTTGAAAAATTAAATGTTATGTTGAATTTTCTTAATAATTTTTTAAATTTTAAAAATGTATAAAGAGTAAAACTTGAAAATTTTATATGAAGCTGTTTTTTTTTGTTTCAATACAAATGTTGTATTATAGCAGTTTGAGAGTTCTGATTCCAAGCTTTTTATGACTCCATATTTTTTCTGATTGCACGCTCATGTATGCAATCAGAAAAATCCTTCATTTCAATAGTATGTGCAATCAGAATAAATGGGTATGTATTATTACTGTTTAATAGTACAGCTTTTGAACTGCATTTGGAGGAATCAGTGAAAATGTGTTATTTGCTACCAAATGTTAAGCTCAATGAGTAAACCTTGAATATTTTTGCAGTAGCAAACAAGGTCAATCAATAAAAAGCTGAGAGCTTTAGATGCTGATTTCTGTTGACAATATGTATGTGTGCCACATAACAATATCTCTACTGTTTCAAACAAGAAACTCAGCATGTTCTTTTGACAATAAAGTATTATTCAGCACTACAGCAAACTTGTATTAAGTATTAATTGAACAATAAATTTACTTCATGCTTTTTGCATCAATATCTTGTTTAAAATGACTTTATAGCCAAATGTTTTAAAATCACATTAACAAAAGCAATAGTTTTAATATCATAATATCTACAATAATAATGAAGATAAACATATAAATAAAATAAATACCTAGATATTGTATTTATTTATAACTAAATATTGCATTTATTTTTAAAGGAAATTAGAATCAAAATATTTAATTATAAAATTATGTTAATATTATAGAAAAAATAAATAATAAAAAATAAAATAAAAACCCATAATAAAAACATAATTAAAAAAAATTAAACAAAAAAATAATTAAATAACAACTTTAAATTTAATCTTTGTTATTTATAATCATTTAATTCTGTTATGATTATGAAAATTAATAATTCGAATAAATTCGAAAGTTACTTTAGCGTAGAACTTGATTTTTTTATTATCAAGTCATGAGTGGCAAATTCTTCAATTAGGGGCCGAATTCGTCAGTACAGCTAAACTTATTGAAAAGTAATATCACTTGGGCGATAGACAAAATTCCTTACTAGCGGTAAAGGCAGCTTACCTAGGAAAAAAAAAACTTTGACATAACATTATTGAGGTAACAGTAGGGTGATTTCCCTAATCTAGAATAATAAACTTAGATGCTATGAGTTCAATCCTCACCGTGTTCCTGGTAGTACCACGCTCAACTTGTTTTTCTGCGCAGCGACCTTGTTTGTCAAAGTTCATTTTTTGGAGTTAAAGAGTTGAGAGAGGGTTGTATCAACTAAAGTAACCTCTTTGACTGTAGTGGTCTTTGTGGCCTTGAGGAGGTGAATTAAAATGAATAAAAATCTAATAGGACATCAATTCTTAAACTTTTTCTAGAAAATATCAAGTAGTGATTTTGGCAAAAATGAAAACCGTTTAACCGCGCAAGCGCAAGAAATATCATCATTCTCAGCTAAGTAATTAGACAAGGCTTCAGACCACATATGTTTAACTACTTTATTAACGTGTGTCAAGTGGTTGAAGGCGATGTGTACTATGATGTGGAATGCATATTATTTCAATACCCATCTCTATTGCTAATTCAATGGCTTTTAATGGTCATATGACTTTTGTGGCCATCCAAAAATAATAATACTTTTTTTCCATTCACTTTTGTACAAAACTCATTAAAATGATGTAAAAAACCAATAAAAATCTCTTGATAAATATATCCGGTTCTACTGCAATGTACTTTTGTACCCCAAGGAAATTTAGATGCATCTGGAATCTTCGTTCCCTTAAATATGAAAAATGGTGGTAAGCTGTCTCCTGCTGTATTGACAGTGGCCAGGTATGTTGTTATTGTGCCACATTCACCAATAGTTAACTTTTGTACATCACAAGAACCCTTTAATGCTATTACTTTAGCAAAGACACTATAAATATATAAAGAATAAAATAAAAAGATAATAAATATAAAAATATAAAAATAAAGTCTAAAGCTTTGAAGCATTTTGAGCATAATTTATTTTTCTTTCAAACAACACTTGATAGTTTAAAAATTTGCGTGATGAAACAACCTAATTTATTTTCAGTATTAACTTTTCTTTAATGATGAAGTTGCCCCTCAGAAAAATATTTTTACACATTTAATGTTTACTTGCAATATTTATAGAATAATCGAAGGTAAATATATTTATTTAATTATATTCTACAAATATTAGTTGAAAAAGTTTTAAAAACCTAGTAGCTAGATTTTTTTAGTTTTTTTGCATTATTATTTTAAAGCTGAGCTGCATAAGTGACGGGTTCGCTCCATGACGAATTCACCCCCCACCCCCACCCCTCTTACCCTAAGACCTTGGCAGTCATTCCATATTACAACAAAAGAAAAGTTAGAGAATTCTTAAAGATTAACAAAGCAAGAATTCGACATGAAATTGGATAGTTATTAATAATAATTAAAACAAAATAATGTAAAACAAAAACTTGGGGACCAATTTAAAAATTTAAGTGATCTCACTATTATAGTACTGTATAGTGGTTTCTATATTTTACGCTTTTTAATATCTTTTTTTTAACGGTTTGTTTTATTTTATTTTGTGACCTTTTTTTTTTCATTACCTGATGACACTGACCACAATAGGTCATCAAAATAGCCTTATTATATCATTATATCAAAATATATTTAAAAAATAGTTATACAGTGCCTTTTTAATTAAAATCAACTTATATATATATATATATAATATATATATATATATATATATATATATATATATATATATATATATATATATATATATATATATATATATATATATATATATATATATTAGGTATATGACAAAAAAAACTTTTTTTAAAATTTTAATTTTCCTGATGTTGCATTTGATGAACTTTTACCAATAGATCACTGTTTTGAGGTTTATTTCATTGGATCGCAAAAAAACCTCCCGCACCTAGCCTCTCACCACTTTTAAATTTTTCACTTGATTTTGTTCCCAGTTCTTACTTCCTTATGCTTGACTATGCTTGAACATAACTACAAGTTGGAGAGCGTCAAACAGTTAAAAAAGTTAATTAACAGAATGAAAAAGTTCGATAGTTTTAAATTGTTTTTATGTTACGTAACTCAGTTTTGAATAACAAATTTTAACTACTGTTTTTCAAATTAATGCGTGTTTGTTGTTGTTTGTTGTTGAGTATATTTTAATGTTTGCGTGATTAAAATATTGAGTAGAAGTATTTAAAAAGTTTTTTCATTATTTGCAGTATTAATTTGCAAGATCTGCTGTTTAGTGCTTCTTTTTGAAAATATGTCCTTTAAAAGTAAAAAGTCAAAATCAGCAGTGAAAGCAGCTGGTGAAATATGGACACAAAATTTGAAATCAAGCACGAAGCGCAGTCCTAATATACCACATGTAAAACAGGATATGAGCGACAAATTGTGTAAAATGCCTCCCAACAGAGATATCGTTGGAAGATTCTTGGGACTCTTTAGTGAATTGAAAGGACAACATGATCGACTAACAAAAATATCCGAGGAATTGATGAATCTTTGGCAGAAGTTTAATTTTCCTGTTATTTCCAAACAACAAGTGTCTGCTAATGTTTACAAATTTATCACATCATTTGAGAAACACAGAAAGCGACCAAATGCAGTATTTGAAGAAAATCTTGCTCATCTGTTTGATATAACAAAACCAGATGGAAATTGGCTTTGTAGTGAGGACAAACAACTGTACAGAGTACAAATTGAATCAGATGGCAGGGTAGGATATACAACTATGAAAGTGGCTCTTATGTCAACAATCCATCCATCAAAAAAAGCCAAAAGCACATCAAAACCCTTGACAAACCAAGCGGTTATCTCCGTACCACTTTCCTGTGATAGTGAGGATTCTGAGGAAGGAAGCAGCAGTGGTGACTCGGAGGCAGTTCCAGGAGAATTTCGCAGAAAGCGTGCAACACGCCAGTCAACTATCTCTGCTGCCAAATTAGTGTCTAGTCACTCTTTGTCAACCAGGAAAACGTCACGGGTGCTTCAAAGTCTGGCTGAGGATGGAGTTTGTGTCCCAACACCATCACAGTCTGGAGTCTGGCGTCGAACAATCAGAGATGCAGAACAAGTTAAGAACCGCCTCATGGAACTGATTTCTGAAGAGAAATTTTCTTTGCATTTTGATGGTAAAAAAAATAACAAGAATGAGTACCAAGTTGTGTGCTTGAAAAATGACAAAAGAACATTACAACTTGGCATTTTGGTTTGTGACAGTGGATCATCTGCAAGCATATATAAACCACTACAGGACCTACTTGATGATTACAATGCATGAAACAGTATTCAGATGATCATCTCTGACACAACAGCTGTAAATACTGGTCGCAAGAATGGAGTTGTTGCCAAGCTTCAGAAAACATTTTGAGACAAGGGATTCAATGAAACTCAATACATCGGCTGCCAACACCACATTCTTGATCTTGTTCTACGACATGTGTTGGATTTCTTTTTTCCTATACAGTCACAGTCGACTAACATTAACTACAAATTTATTGATGAGATTATGGAGCATTACGATGATTTAAAAAATGCCTACAAGGGCACAGCAGTGGTAGCAGAGTATGAGAACCTTGGCTGGAGAGATGACTTTAAATTTCTTTTTCAACTTTGTGAAGCATACAGGTTTTACAAAAATGAGGAAAAATGACCTCGTATCAAATGGCACAAGCCGCCATCACTGCACAGTGCCAGGTGGAACTCAAGAGGCATTTTTGCGCTTATTGCATTTTTCATTATTCCAAACTGGCGAGAACAGCTGAGGATAACTTGCGATTTCGTTGCAACTACATGGTCGCGGGCCTGGTTTTCAAACCAGCACTATGCAGAGGCGGCTTATGAAGACCTGCTGTCACCAATATCCCAACTTAAGTGTTCTAAAGCTGTGAAATGCTTCTCTACCCACTGAAAGAAGGAACCATCAGTGCTTGATGTGCCTCGAACCAACATAGTAGCCGAGAGAGCTGTAAAGTTGATGGGGGACATTCGTTCTTCTTGCAGAACAAACAAATATCTTAACTCTAAATTTATTAATACTAATACACAAATCTGAAAGATTATTAACATCACTACAAATGCTGTAGGACAGTGTATTTCTCATGTATTTCTCATGTGTATTGTATATAAAGTTGACATATTATAATTAATAGACTTTGGGCTACTATGTGTTGTATGGTTAAATATGAAACTGTCTAAGGTCCGGGAAGTTTTTTCAAGGTATGGTGAAATCAATGTCATTTCTATGATTTATAGGCAAAAGTTCATCATATAGAACCCCAGGCTAATTGATTTAAAATTTATCATATAACTAATATATATATATATATATATATATATATATATATATATATATATATATATATATATAGACTTGTAATTGTTAAAATAAAATTTTAAAGTTTTCTCATATTATACATATATTATACACAGTCATACCCCCGGCAAACTCAACTTATGCTAAAGACATTTACACTTACAGACATTTGTACATAACGCTAAACAAATAGGGGAACTAAGAAGATGAGGTAATTTTAGCAAACGAAATTATCAAGAGAGGGGAGAGTCATGGTAAATCTAAAATTGAAGTTTCAAATTTTCTACTTGGATGAGACAATATGTTTCGTGTTTTTTTACCCACTTTTAACCCATTTGAAAAGAGTTGACTAATTGCAATCAGTGTAAGTGATCTATGAAATTTTCTTTTTTTTTTATGACTGGCATAACTTCAATAGCTCAGTGGTTTAATGCGCAGTCATCAGTATCGTTTTGCGCGGATTTACATTTGCGTCTTAACACAATACGATTTCAATTTTTTAAATTTTGTTAGTACATACATAGTCATAATATCAGATAGTCTGGCCAGTTGGGTCGTTTTCGCAAGATTCTATTGTTTTTAAACAATAAAATTTAAAACTTTGAATTTATGTTGAAAATCGTTTATTTATCGTGCTCAGACTACCAATAAGTGCACAAAAATCTAAAAAATGGCTCAACAGATAAACAGTGCTTCGATTACTTCATATTAGATCTACAATCAGATATATTTTTTTGTAAATTAAAGTTTATCAATGATTTCAGTTCTTTTCTCGTAAAAATTGGAAGTAAAAACGTTTTAACCAAATTTACTTTCACCAGTGTATGATTAAATGTAAGTCGTAGCATAAATTCAAACGCTACATAACAAAGCAGCTTTCAAAGAGTTTCTCTTTAATACAGCAAATAAATGCATAAACCGATGTTAAGCAAACGTGTTCTACAAATAAGTTCATAAATTTTGTTCAAAAAAACAATCTTATTGTTACAAACAATCATTGCTGCAACGTGTTCTGCAAAGAGATTCATCAGTTTTGTTTTAAAAAACATTCTTATTGTTATAAACAATCTTTGCTGCCTTCCATATATCAGGGATGAGCTTTCAAAGTACATATTTTTAAAAGATAATACAAAGCTATCATTCAAGTTAATAAAAAGAAGTTATAAAAATTACTTATAGTGCAGTTGAAGATTTTTTATCTAAAATTTATAGTTTTTATTTTGATTTGACCGAGATGTTTAAAGAAGTGACTATTACTTTTCTAGACCATCTTTTACCACTTTGTTTTTGTGTTCGCTCATCCTATTCAAAAGAGCTATAAACTCACATAAAAAAGGAGCTGTAAACTTTAAAGAACAAATTTGTTTTGAAAAAAAAAAAGTTTAAAAAGGGTTTTTAAACTCCATCAAATAAATATTAGACATTCAATAGAGGTTATTTTGATAACCAAAAAATTTGTTAAAAACATTCTAGCATTTGAACTGTATTGCAGTATGATTGAAAGATGCAATAATAAAGTGAAAATCAAATAAAGTTGTGTAATTTTTTACTTTAAATAATAATATCGTATAATGTAATGAATAAAGCAATTAGTTTAACTACTTAAGCAGTTTAATAATTTTCTCAGGATTTTATTTATAAAATTTTGAAATAAAATTAGGACTTCTTTGCAACACTTATCCTTTATTCAAATTCAACCTAATAGGTCACTTTTTAGCCTCTATGGATATTTTTAAAGATTGACAATGCAGCTTTTGATATCGCAATTACCAATAACCTCAAGTTTTTCTTAAAATCCTCTTTATATGCACAGTGTATGATATAACCGCAACAATAAATACATTTCTTTATTTAAAACACCATTCTAAACTCTATTCACAAATAATAATGACAAATGTATATGTATATATAATTTATCATATATATATACATATATATATATATATATATATATATATATATATATATATATATATATATATATATATATATATATATATATATATATATATATATATGTATATATATGTATATATAGGTATATATATATATGTATACATATATATATATATATATATATATATATATATATATATATATATATATATATAAACATATATATATGTATACATATATATATATATATATATACATATATATATATATATATATATATATATATATATTTATATATTTATATATTTATATATTTATATATATATATTTATATATATATATTTATATATATATATATATATTTATATATATATATATATATATACATATATATATATATATATATATATATATATATATATATATATATATATATATATATATATATATATATATATATATATATATATATATATATATATATATAGATATAGATATATATAGATATATATAGATATATGTATATATATATATATATGTATATATGTATATATATATACATATATCTATATATATCTATATATATCTATATATATTTTTATTTATAATTTGTAAAACTTTTCTTCTTGATTCTTTGTTATAAACATCATCATCGGAAGAAAATATTTCCAATAGAAAAACATTTATACTTCTTCGAAAAGTTCTAGAACAAAATATGTAACAATTAAGACAAGGCATTTGCAAAAATCAAGGATAAATCAATAATCTTCTTGTAAATATTCTTCTTAATGCGCATTTGTTTATAAAAAGTGTGCACTCATTGGTAGACTGGGTTCTAAAAAAAAGCTAACAATAAGATAAACAATAGCGCTCTTAAACTGGCCGGACTATGTATATTATGACTATGGTACATATTAATAACAACGAAGTAAATATAGCAAAAAAGACTTGTTAAAATAAAGTTTTAAAGTTTTTGCCACAGCAGTACTTTCTGGAGTAGCTAGATGGAAATATTAGTTTTTTTCTTTATTAAGTTTCAGACCATAATTTTTTTCAGAACACCTGCAGAGTATTAGGACTAATTACCTGAGCACATTAATAACATGTATCTCTATCATAAAATAAGCGCAATAAGTTTCTCTGGTGTTTTGGTATTTTTAGAAATTTTAAGCTTTTTTAAAAATTCTCTCCTTTTTGTTTGTTATATATATACTATCTTTATATGTTATATATATATATATATATATATATATATATATATATATATATATATATATATATATATATATATATATATATATTTATATATTTTAGATTTTACATATTCAACACAATACATAATATATTTTATATATATAAATCTATAGAACTTCAAAAATATTTTATTTTCAAAAAATCAAAAAAGATTAAAAAAAAAGAAAATGTGCAAGTGCTAACCATCTCGATGCACTCCAGAAACGCTGTGAGCTAACCAGTACAGTCATTAAGGTGTATTGAATGGCAAAGGTTTTAATTGTATTTAATAAATAAACTTTATAAAATAAAAAATAAACTTTATAAAATAAAAAACAAACTTTATAAAATAAAAAATAAACTTTATAAAATAAATAACTTTATAAAATGACAAATAAATGCTATAAATCAAAATTAAAAAGATATTGCCACAATGCAATTTTCTAGTAAAAGAAAAACTGTAAAACTTGATATATGTTTTAACATTACATAATTTGAAGTTTACATAATTTATATATATATAATTTACATAGTTTATATATATGCATACACTTTTGTTCACATTTTCTTTTTAAAAAAGTGCTGTGACTCTTTCTCGTCATAACCTCAGTTGAAATGGCTGCCAAGAGTTTCACGTCAAACATGCTTGAAAGGGCATTAATAACAGCATTAAGTTCAGCATTAATATAAAGAGAAGCAAATAGCTGAATTTAATTAAGTTCATGATGTGGTGGGTAGATATTTTTTTCTCCAAGTCTTACACTCAATTTGTTTTTCCATGCAGCCATGTTTGTCAAGGTTTGTGTTTTAGGGTTGCACTATATACATGTAAATAGTTAAAGATATAAACAATTTATTAGGTTTATGGGTTTTATGATGAATGTGTTCGCAAATATGGCTCTGTGACTGTTTGGAGATATTGTACTGAGGTTTTTGACTACTTAAGTTTATCTGCCATTATAGATGACAAGGTAAGTTCTACTTAATAATTTCTTTTTATTTATTACTATCTTATATTTTTATTATATTGATATATTTAGTATATAATAACTAACTCAGTTACCTTGATGAATAATTACTTAAAAATTAATCTTTATTTTATGGTGAAAAAATACATTAAAATACTTCAAAACATAAATTTAAATTATAATCTAATTTTTAAATATAATTATATATGGTTCCAAAATTATAACTTTAAATTGTTTAATGAAATTTAATATTTTTTAAATAAAAGTAATATTTTTAAATTTGTGTGCATGGTGGTCTTTCGCCATCAATTAAATTACACTTTTAGTATTTTAATTCAGATATTTTGTGTGCATGGTGGTCTTTCGCCATCAATTAAATTACAATTTTTGTATTTTAATTCAGATATTTTGTGTGCATGGTGGTCTTTCGCCATCAATTAAATTACAATTTAGTATTTTAATTCAGATATTTTGTGTGCATGGTGGTCTTTCGCCATCAATTAAATTACAATTTTAGTATTTTAATTCAGATATTTTGTGTGCATGGTGGTCTTTCGCCATCAATTACTACACTTGAACAGGTATTTTTTATTGCTAATGTTAGACAGAGAATTGTGTAGATTTAAGTTTAATTTTTTAACTAGAATTATGACATTTTATGATTTTTTGAGTGCTAGTAGAGTGAAACAAATGATGCTTTGCATTATGAGTTTAGGTAACATGTTAACATAATCTAAGCTTGATACCTCTTGCTTTGCTTATAAACATTTACCTCTAACTTTTAACTTTGTTTGCCATTATCAGATCTACACAACCAGTTTCCATCTTGAACTCAAAGTTATAACTGCTTTAAAAAAAAACAATTCTTTTTGCTTAAAATTTTTTGAAAATCTTTTTTTCTATGATTTTAGTAATAATTTTTAGAATTTTCTTTCTTTTTTATCTTTAAAATTATCATAGTTTTATGGGTTTTCCAAATTATTTTATAATTAACTTTAGATTCGTACTTTGGATAGAAAACAAGAAGTGCCTCATGATGGACCAATGTGTGATCTTCTTTGGTCTGATCCAGAAGGTTTTTTCCATTTTATTAATTTTTTGTATAAGGATATGTTAAAATACTTGTATGTAAAAAGTATAATTTTTTCAGTTTTTTGTTTGTTTTGTTTATATTTTTTGAAATCAATAGGTTTACATAAATGTTTTGTGAAATTAATAGATTTAAGTAACTTTTTTTTTTATTATTATTATGTTTTAATGTTTGAAATCAATAGGTTTATGTAACTGTGTCAAAATATTTTTTAAAAATCAGTCACATAAACCTTATATATACATTTTTAAGTTTAATATTTTTTTAAATTTATTAAAAGAAAGGGTTATAATTAAAATATTTTATTAAAAAAACTCTTTGCTATCAATTTTGTTAATAGATATAATATTAAGTCAACCAAATTAATTTAACGCTTGTACATGAAGCACACAAAGATTTGTTCATAAAGAAAGTGCACAAAATTTGTTCATGAAGGAAGCGCACAAGATTTGTTTATGAAGGAAGCACACAAGATTTGTTTTTGAAATTAAAGAGTAAAGATTTGAGATATGCCAAAATCAGTTTACGCCGAGTCTCCGTTTCCGGGTAACTGAACCGGGTAACTGTTTAACTCGAAAATATTGGGTTCTGGTTCCTGGTACCAGCTCCATATTAAAAAGTCGGAATAAAAGTTTGTGAAATTACTAGCGCTGAATTGTTTTTACAAAATAACACTGATTAATTTGCATTAATTATGTTTGAATAAATGTTTGCCATAATTCTATTTAATAAACAACTGTTTAACTCGAGGTCACAAATTCATGATACACAAACTAAAGTGTAAACCTAATGTCAGTAAATGTTGTTCATAAATCGATGTTCTTTCTCTCTCAGGGTTGTTAACATTGTTAATGCCATAAAACATCAAGAACTTCAATTTAAATTAATTTAAATTTAATTTAAATTAACTCTATCAACTTCAAAAAATTCAAATATGCGTATAAATTAGTTTCCTTTTTGCAATAATCTGATTCTTTTGCAAAAGTATACTTTTAAAAGTATTTTAAATAAGACACACCACATAAATAAATATTGAGTAAATAGGGCTTTGTGAACTCCATAACACTCTTAGACTTATATCAAGAAGTTTATTGGTTGAAGTTTAAACTAAAAGCAATTCTGTTAATATTTTGATTCAATTAAAAGTACCGCATAAACAGTTTTTGTACAATAGAGAGAATTATATTATTAGCAATATCTTTGATTCATTAACTAACTTCAAGAAATCGTCCAAGAGCTTACTATATATATTTTTTATTACTATAATATATTTTTATTACTATAATATTTTTTATTATTCTACTACTGACTTTTTATAACAGAAAAATTCAATAACCTTAGATGGAAAAGTGAGGGAAGATCTATTTATATAACAATAAAGTTATGGAAAGTGAATCTATTTTTAGACAAACAAGGTTGGGGTGTTAGCCCACGTGGTGCTGGTTTTTTGTTTGGGAGTGATGTTGTACAGCAGGTACTTTTATAAATTATGCAAGTAGTTTATTAACTAAGTATATTACATGCATGCATTAATGCATGATTACATACATACATACATACATACATACATACATACATACATACATACATATATACATACATACATACATACATACATACATACATACATACATACATACATACATTATTAAATCAAACTGTTTTTTGTACATACATATATTAAATCAAACTGTTTTTTTCAAATATTTTTTCAAAAAATATTTGAAAAAAACAGTTTGATTTAATAATTTATATACAAAAAATTATTTAAGAAGTGGTGTGATTTAAAATTATTTAAGAAGTTTATTATTTAATAAATCAGGAGAATAAACTTAAAATATCAGTTCTTTGTTTCTTTCAGTTTTTAATAATGATTTGTTTTACATGCTTTTTAAACAATTTTATTAGCTGATACTAAATTTTTGTTGTTGTTGTTGTTAACATGCTTAGATACTTTGACATAAGTTCAATTTATATATATGTGTATATATATATATATATATATATATATATATATATATATATATATATATATATATATATATATATATATATATATATATATATATATATATATATATACATATACATATACATATACACTACCGCTCAAAAGTTTGGAAGCAGTTGGGTTTTTTTTACAAAAATATAGATAAAAAATAATTTCATACCTTTATTCACAATGTAATTAACAATTACACTTGAAATTAAACTTTTACCAACTATAATCAACATCTGTCTGTCAATATCTTATATATATAACCAACTATCTGTCAATATTATTTATATTTTTGATTCATCAAAATGTCCACCTTTATTTTTAATCACAGCTGCGCAAATTTGGGGCATTCTATTTATTAATTTAGTAAAATATTCACAATCTAATGAGTACCATTCTGTTTGTAGGTATTCCCACATATATACACGTTGTTTTTTCTCATTTGAATAGGACATACACAATTTTGGGGCATGTTTCGGATCATTATCCTGTTGAAATATGAAATTTGACCCAATAATTTCATTTCCAGAGGGCAAAGCGTGGTCCTGCAAAATTTGTAAATATCCTTCTTTGTTAAGTTTGCTATCTATTTTTACTAATTTTCCTGGCTTATTATTTCCGAAACATTCCCAAACCATTACATTACCTCCACTATGTTTAATTGATGGCACTGTACACTCTGGCAAAGCCCTTTCATTTTTAGATCATCGGACAAAAACTCTTCTGTTTGAACCGAAAATTTGAAATTTTGATTCGTCCGTCCAAAGTACATTTTTCCATTTTTCAAGTGTCCAATCTTTATGAGTTTTAGCCCAAGCCAACCTGTCTTTCTTATGTTGTTTTGTTAATTAATCTTGCTGCAATTTGGAGGGCTGTTAAACGACGGTTTCGCTTTAAAGTTAATTTCATAAATTGATCTTCATTTACTGTTGTAATTTTGGGTCTCCCACTACGTTTCCTGTCTTGATTACTGTTTGTTTCTTGTTGCCTTTTTAATGTATAATGAACCCCTTTTGCAGAAACACCCATTTTTTTTTTTGCAATTTCTCTCTCACTATACCCTTCACCTCTAAGTGTACAAATTGCACTTCGTTTATCAGTTGTTAACTGTGATCGTTTTGCCATTATAAAAATAAAAAATAAAAATTTGTCTAAAAACACCACTCGACTATAATTGGTTTAGCGCACTGTTATTAAAAAGATAACTTATCAGTCTGCTAGTAAATAACTGACTGAAAGATGTTTACTAATAACTTTGGTAACATAATTTTACCGATTTCATGTTCAGACAGGTTCAGACGTGTTTGTTTTGTTTATTAGATAAAATGACTTCAAAGCGTCTATTATCTTTAAACATAAATAAAAGTAGTTATATAAATCAGATTCGATTAAAAACATACAAAAGCATATTGACTTGTTAGAAATGAAGTAATTATATTATAAAAATCGATTTCATCAATATATATTGACATTATATTCAATTTTTCAAAAAAAATTAACTGCTTCCAAACTTTTGAGCGGTAGTGTGTATATATATATATATATTTATATATATTATATATATATAAATATACAATATTTACCGGGAAAATGTTAAAAAAAAAAGGTCCTCAATTTTTAATTTGAGCGGCGCCCAAAATACGGTCGAAGGATATTTTACCCCGAATTTTTAAATATTTATTGAGTTTTAAAATGTTAGTTATAAAATCAATTAGCGCATTAAATTTAATGAAAATCGCTGTGTTAAAGAGCTTCTACTTTCTACTGTTTTTTAAATAAATTTAGCATTGCGTAATTTATGGACAATCCCTAAGAAATTGGTTTTATAAAATAGGAGCTAAATTTTATCATCTAAAAAAGCTTTTTTTGAAAATAAATACTAATACACAATATTTTTTTTGCTTAGTAACATTTATTATTTAAAATGTAGCAAATTGCAATTGAAAAAAATATATACTAAAGTGCACACACTAGATTTTTGCAATGTCAAGTTACTTCGTATTTTGATATATTGTTTTTTAAATAAAGTGTAAACTCCAACAAAATAAAAAGTCCTAATATCCTTTTTTTAATGAATATAAATCTAAGTAAAATATAACCCTTTTATTAAAAAAATTCACAATGAATATAGAAAATTAAAATATTTTGGCATAATAAATGTCCATAATATGTAAATAGTACAAATCCTCATTTGATGTACCTACAGAGGTAAACTGTCTCAGAATTATTTAGAACGATAACAAGAAATCAGTTAAAATTAGAATGAGAAAAATAACAGTTTATAGAAAAATTTTAATACCGAAAATTTAGGTGAGATGAGATTCGTTAAATGGAAAAAAATTATGTAAAAAACCAAGCAGAAACAAAAAAAAAAATTGTTTTATTTATTTTTAGAAATTTTAATGAGAACACTAGGATAAATTATGTATTGTTAATGAAAGTTAATTAAATAAAAGTTTAAGAAAAGAACTACTACTTGGTTAAGAAATTATTTTTCAGTATATTAGTTTGATTTAAAAGTTAATATATATACTTATAACTCCAAATTTCTGGAAATAGGTAGCTTTTTAATTAAATAATTTTTTGAGTCTGAGACTTACAGAACATCTAGCCACTGAACTTGAAGCTTCACTTTTAATTGCAATTAAGATGGGTGTTTTTGCTGTTACACCAATAATTCCAAGTTCTTACACCCTTGTTTTTAGGTCAGACGATTATTAATCAAGTATGCTTTTCTTCAATTTCAAATATAAAATCATAAATTGGTATATCTCACTTGAAACTAAAGAAAAATCTCTTTTGAGCTAAATTTTTTGTAGTTTGTAGGCAACTGTTATTTGTAGACGCCCCTAATTTGTAGACAAACAACTTTTTCTGATTGTCTAAGCATTACTTAATTTTTTGCAAAAAAAAAAAAGGTTAAATTTTGAAAAAAGATGTTAATTTTTTAAATTTAAGCAAGAGAATTAGAAGTTTTTGTTAAAATCCAGTTTTGTTTTGAAAAGAAGTGAGATTAGATTTTTGTCTCTCTTCATAAATTTTGTTTAACAAGATGGTAAAATTGAAAAATAAGAAAACAACTTCCGAAACAATAAATCGCTGTTTCATTTCTTCAAGTTCACTAAAATTTATTATTTAGTTTCAAAATGAAAGAGCTTATACTGGGGGTAGAAACATACATAAACATGTACCTACATAAATACATACATAAATACATACATACACAAAATTTCCCGGGAAGCGCCTGTGGTGACACGCCTCCTTCATCCACAATTAAAGTAATTTTTTTAGACTAACTGACCACGACAGTTTGCATCTTTTAGCTTAAAAAGCGTTATTTGTTAAGCGTTAGTTGTTATTTGTAGACGCCCCTAATTTGTAGACAAACAACTTTTTCTGATTGTCTAAGCATTACTTAATTTTTTGCAAAAAAAAAAAAGGTTAAATTTTGAAAAAAGATGTTAATTTTTTAAATTTAAGCAAGAGAATTAGAAGTTTTTGTTAAAATCCAGTTTTGTTTTGAAAAGAAGTGAGATTAGATTTTTGTCTCTCTTCATAAATTTTGTTTAACAAGATGGTAAAATTGAAAAATAAGAAAACAACTTCCGAAACAATAAATCGCTGTTTCATTTCTTCAAGTTCACTAAAATTTATTATTTAGTTTCAAAATGAAAGAGCTTATACTGGGGGTAGAAGCATACATAAACATGTACCTACATAAATACATACATAAATACATACATACACAAAATTTCCCGGGAAGCGCCTGTGGTGACACGCCTTCTTCATCCACAATTAAAGTAATTTTTTTAGACTAACTGACCACGACAGTTTGCATCTTTTAGCTTAAAAAGCGTTTTAATTATTCGTGGCAAAAAGCTAAACTTATTTACTAAGAAAAAAAACAATCCTTAAAAAAGGAAACAAAATTATAACGAAATATAAAGTTAAATTAAATAAACTAGAAAATAATAATACTTAAAAAAATTAAATAAATTTTTTTTATTTAATAAAATTTTGATACAACTTTTGTATTCTTTTTTTTAAAGTCGTTGAAAAAAATATCTTTTATAACGATTTAGCCACAATTGAAAGTTCTTTTGGCTTTTAAAAATGTTTTGCCTATATTTGTTGTTTTTTCTCAATACTTATATATTCGGGAAATAAGAAAATAATTGTTTTTTGTAAAGAATTTGTAAAGAATATTGATTAATAAATTTTGTAATGATAGAATAAGTTAAATAAAAGAATAACATAGTTTCTTTAATAAATGTATTTATCGCATATGATGCATGTCTGAAATTATTTCTTTTATATTGCCCAATATTCAATTTTAAAACGAATCGCTTAGAGATAATGAACAAAATGATTGCTCTGTTTAAAAAAATGTGTTTAAAAACTTAATAAAAAGTTTTAAATAGGTTCGTTAAAAAAGTTCAGTAAATTAACAATGCACTAGCCCACAATTTGGAGCATCGTTTAGTTTTTTTTAAATGAAAAACTTGTTAAAAAAAAATTTTTTTTTTTTTACAATAAATAGCAATTAGTTTTCTCGCTTTCCTGTGCATTGATAAAAACAGTAAAGTTTAGCAAAGACATTTGAAAAACAAATTTAAAAATTGTCTGTGTTTCTAACGCAAATTATAAAGTATTTTCTTAATATACTGACTGAAAAAAGTTGCATCGAAAAAAAAAATTTCAGTTTTATTCTTATCTACTTTTTTCCTTGACTTGTATCAATTTTGGTAGTGGAAAATAACAAACACCCTAAAAATAAGAAAACAAAAAGAGTAAAATATTTAGGTATATTATTTTTTTGACAATAATTTTCTTTTTTTAATATTCAATTTTTTTTAGATTTATTTTATTCAGATTTTCTATATCGTATAGTCTTCGGTTCTTTTCTTCAAGTATTGCTGTTTTATTCTCTTGTTTTTTATAGCTTTATTTTGCTGTGAATTCTTAAAACACTTACTATATAAAAATGTGGTCAAGTACTCTAAAAAAATTACTTTGAGGCATGCGACCATGCGCGCTTCCCGGGAAGGCTTGGTAATACGTACATCATAGATACATACATACATACCTACATAAATACATACATACATACATACATACATACAAGATAACCGAAAAAAAACTTAATAAGTTATTTTTTCAGAAAGAAAAAAAACTAAATCATTTATTTTTATGCTACACTCAACTTAAAATTCTATTTTTATTTTCTTTTTAAGTTAAGTTTTGCAAATCTTTTTAAGAATCAATATTTTTAATGTTTAAATTCGTTGTTTTTGTAGTTCAATGTAAAAAACAATATAGAACTTATTTGTCGAGCCCATCAGTTAGTAATGGAAGGATTTAAATGGCATTTTAATGAAACGGTGCTCACTGTATGGTCTGCCCCTAATTATTGTTACAGGTAATTTTTTATATATGCTACAAGTAAGATGATTTTTGTCAAAGAAAAAGATATGTACATATTTTTGAAATATGATAGTTTTGTGTTATAGAATATTTAGAAACCTGTTTTTTCTGAGCCAAGCAAATGTAAATTTAAATAAAAGTGTGAAACAATTTTAAATCACTAATTTAAATTTATGTTAAAATTAAACTTTTCTTCCATTACACAAAAGTGCAGCTTGCTCTTAACTTCACTTGTTTAGCTAAAAATATTGTTACTTGTCATAAAAAAGCACAGGTGGCAAAACATCATTTTACTAACTTTTCCATGTAATCAAATTATTAAAAACTTAAGTTAAAACTAGAGTTTTATATTATTTCAACAATATTTGTATATTTATGTGTTGATTTTTTTTTATGTTTCTTTTATTTATAAGTTTATGAAGGAAACTTATTCTATCAAAAACAATTGAAAATATTTTTTTAATTGAATAATTTAGTTCTTGTCACCTGAATAAAATTAACTGGTTAGATTCAATTTTTTTTTTATATAAGACTAAATTATTTTGTTGTTAAAAGTATTGTATGAAATAATCTTATAATCTTTCATTTAAAAACATTTCTTTAAAAACTATTACTGATTGGTTAACATTTATCAAATGTTAGCCAATATCATTCATAATTATCAATGATTGGTTAATATTTATCAAATGGTAGTCTATGTCACTTTGTCTTTTAGAATTCTTTTAATTAGTAAAAATATCTTGAAAATAAATTAAAAATTTTAAAAACTAGCAATAAAACATTCATCACTCAAAAAATGATGGTAACAATGTTGGAAAACATAACCTCATCTGTTAAAGAACAAACTATTGAAGACATTAAATTTATTTATTAAAAAGAAAAAACAAACTATTGAAGACATTAAAATCATTCATTAAGATCATTCAAGTTTTTAGCCTCTTTTTTTTTACTATTAGGATCTTTAAATTTTTAATAGTTTTTAAAAATGTTTATTAAATATTCATGGTTACTCTTTGTTATCACCATTTAATTATAAAAATAACTAAAAGTTGCATTTCAAAGTGTAGAAAATTTAAAACAATAACAGTTGTGCAAAATATCATGTCTTGTAACTTGAGGAAGACATGATGTTTTGCTTTACCATATGAAAATCAGCATAAGCTAAGGTTTCATTGAGTCTTGTGGTACTTCTGAGGTTGTTAGAAAGTTAGTTAGAATGTTGTCCACCAAGTATAACAATAATTCTGGAATTAGAAAAGAATGATTTATTAAATATTTATTAATATAATTATCTATTAATAGAAAAAAGGCAGAGTGTTGTCCACCAAGTACAACCTTAATTGTGGGATTAGAAAAGAATGATTTATTAACTTATAAAACATTCCCAGATACACCATATGAAGAAAGTCTATGGGGAAAACCACGATGTCAGGCTTGAAAGCCATTGATATGTCCACATGAACAGTCATTGCTCATTGCTTCCATCTAGCGCATGAACCTTTCTGTTATTACAAATAGCAAATCAGCAGTGCAGGAATTATCTTTTTTCCGGATATTTCCAGAATTCCACATATTTCTTTAAAAAAAATCTTTTCTTGAAATACAAGTTAAAAATATATTTTTTGTCATCAAATAGTTAAAGCAGTGATCAATTTTTCTCCACTATATTTTGTTAAGTTAAGCATTATTTTAGTTGAGTTAAGCATTATTCAGTTAAGTTAAGCATTATTTTAGTTAAGTTAAGCATTATTTAGTTAAGTTAAGCATTATTTTAATTAAGTTAAGCATTATTTAGTTAAGTTAAGCATTATTCAGTTAAGTTAAGCATTATGTGTAATTAATTATTTTTCACCTAAAAACTTAGTTCAATTTAATAATTTTTATATAAATTTTTTTTTTTAATTTTATTTTTTATATGTTTAATAATTCTTTTTATATAAGTAATGAAATGCTTTTCTTTTATATAGAAGAATGCTTGCTAAAATCTAAACCCTCAGTCGATGTGTGTACACTTAACTGCGCTAATTCATATTTAAATCAGTATGTATGTGCACCTCACTGTGACTATGGCTAAAACAGCTGTTTATGTACGTGTTGATGCACATATTCTATGAAACTTTGAAGAAGAAAAAAAAAGATAAACAATAATTGAAACAAATAAAAAACAGACAAGGTAGTTTTATGTTAAAAAAATATAAAACTACCTCCATATAGAACTTACCTACCTTAATAGAACATTTTTAAAAATTAAAAAAAAAATGTTCTCTATGGAAAATATTATATTAGTATAAATAAGTTGTATCACATAAAATTTATTTTTTATGATATCATTTGTTCATATATTTCTCAATATATTTAAGTTTCTTCAAGTATGTAATTTTATAAAAATAGAATGATTTTTATCACAACTAGTGAGTTTAACGTAAAGCAGTTTATTTTCTATTAAATATTTTTTAAAGCAAATTTTTAAATTGAAGAAGCTGATAAAATGAGACAAAATGAGATAATTTTTATTTTATATGACAAATTCTATGTGTAAATTTGTCATTAATTTGTGTTCTTTATTTTAAAAATTGTTATATTTTTTTATTATATACTTGCATTATAGATGTGGTAATGTTGCTGCAATTCTTGAACTAGATGAGCATTTAAAAAAAGATTTTACAATATTTGAAGCAGCGCCTCAGGTCATTTTTTATTTATCATAAGTCAAAACCTGTAATAAATATTTACTTTTTTAACATTTTTTTGAAGTTTAATATTTGTTTTATTAAAACACATCAATCTGTTTTTGAAGAATTTTTTTTTTTCTAATTTTTTCTAAAATAAACTCTAAAGAGTTTTTGCTGTAATAATATATATTATTAAATAATATATCTTTTTAAATATAAATAATATATATTTGATTAATTTATATTTGCAAAAGCAAGTTAAAACAAATTTAATGATTACTTATGAGCTTTGCTATAACTGATTGGCTATATCGCTAAAATAATTTAAAGTTTTTTAATCGTATCTTTGATAACTCCAAAAGAGCTTTGAATATTATCTGGTAAAACAAAATTATTTATTAGAATTTGCTTGAATAAAAAATTCAATAAAAACATGATTAAAAATTTATTAAAACATAATGATTAATTAAAAAGTTTTCTGAATCTTTTCAAGTGAAACAAGTTACAAAATTACAATTATGTGATTTTTTATTTTTTTAATGATACAAATCTTGATCAGTAAATCTTTTTATTAAGATCTCTCCATTAACAAGTTTAAAAATTATTTTTTAATTTTTTTTTTCCTAAATTTTCTGTCTGAATATAACATATTTTATATTTTCAAATTGGAAATTTTATTCTCTGAGTATAAGTAATCAGTTTGGTCATCAGTAAAATTGTCTTCTACCAAAACAGTTCTGCAGCCGTTTTTCAAAACACCCTTAGGTAAAAAGAATCCTTAGGGTGTTTTTTTCAATACGCCTTGAGGTTTTTTTTACCATATTAAAAACAATATTTACAATAATTTAATTTTGAAAAAAATTCAAAAAAAATTTAATGATAAAAAAAGTTTGACTTTTTTACATTTTTACAGCTAATTTAGATGCCTCAGGGCTCGAATTAAGTGATCGCTTATTGCGATATCTGAAAATGATTCCTGCCTTTAAATTTTTAGCTTTTAAAAAACCGTAAAACTATTTTGATCACAAGACTCAATAGCTGTTATTCAATAAAAAATATTTATATTGATCTTGAGTTATAAAATCTTATTGTAAAATCAGATGATTATTACTATTATTTTTATTATTATTAAAGATTACAATTTAAACATTAATATTCATTTTATAAAACATCAGCTAAAACTAGAAAAATAAAACACAATAAAGTACGATATAATTATTAAAAAATAACCGTTTAGGGGTTGTCCATAAATTACGTCACGCTATGAAGGAAGGAGAGTTGGTGGTTTTGTGATGACTCATATAAAACTTGCTTCTTAAGTGTTACAATTTTGTGACAAGGGTCTAAAAGGGTCTAAAATTGCGTGGCGTAATTTTTGGACAATCCCTTATTGCAACAGTCTGAAAGAATTTAGCAGTAATTAAACATTTTAAATAAAAGAAATTGTTAAATAAGATATAAAATACTTCTACATCTTATTTAATATTTTCTTATTAATTAGATGCTCGTAACTCTTTGTAATATTTGAATAGTAATATTACGTAATATAATAGTAATACACAAATATTAAAAACAATTTTTTAAAACAGTGATAAAAAAATTAAAAGTTTGAGTCAAATTAAATTTTTTCGCAACTGTAACTTGCGGAAAAGTCACTTTTGGAGAAAACTTCTGAAACAAGTCATTATTGATCATTATTGATTTATTTAATTATGCTTTATGAAACAAAATTTAATTTTGTTTCATAAAACATAATTATGAAAACATAAAATGAAACAAAGTTAATTTAACAATTAACTTTGTGCTATTTATTTTTTCGTCAAATGCGTTTAAAAATTATTATAAATGAATCAGATATTCATAACATATATGAATTATATATATATATATATATATATATATATATATATATATATATATATATATATATATATATATATATATATATATATATATATATATATATATATATATATATATACATATATACATATATATATATATACATATACATATTCATATATATATACATATACATACATTCATATATATACATATATATATATATATATATATATATATATATATATATATATATATATATATATATATATATATATATATATATATATATATATATATATATATATATATATATATACACACATATACATATTCATATATATATATATATATATATAAACTTTTTTTTGAATTTGGATCTGTAGGAATATATAATGAGTTAGCATAATCTTATAATATCCTTATCCTACCCTATAATATTTTAATGAAGAGCTAAATGCTGCTGTTACTTATTTATGAGTGTAAATATGATAAATTTTAAATTGGTATTAAAAAAAAAATTTTAGTGATGACGTCATAATTAGTGTAATTTGACCCCTAAAACTGCCTATTCTTTCATCTAGTATAACTAATTCAAAAATTGTCAAAACTGTTTAAAAATTTGAACATAAGTTCTTTAATGTATTTAGAATGTTGTCTATGAAACAGAATTTTTCTAAACTATTTTTATTTTACCAGGTTGACATTCAAACTTTAAAATATAAAATTTTGAGGAAGTTTGAGACTAAAACACAATAAAAATGATTTAATTTAATTTTTTTTTTTTAGCTTTATAGACAACATTCCTAATATGTTCATCTTTAATCCTGCAAAATTTCAGCCATTAGCTATTTTCTATTAAAAGTTATTTTTTCTGAAAAATTGAGATTTAGAGATAAAAAAAAAAAAAGTGGCAAAAAAGCTAAAACAAGTTTTTAAATATATAATATTGATATTATATTGTAAAACAAACTATTTAATATTGACCATAACCATATGTATCTCCTTCTTGAAATTTATTTTGATCATTATATCCATTTCTCATGGCTCTGAGCTTTTTACATCTTTTTTTAACACAATCTTCTGTAATATGGTTCAATTGTTTGACACGATAAATACCTTTATTTTGACTTCCCTTTGTAGTTTGTAGTCTGTTTGTAATAATTACTCTTCGTAATATTTTCTTATTAATTATATGCTCGTAACTCTTTGGCAGATATGTATAAAAATATTAAAAGACAGAGGAGTTTAAAAGTATTTAAAAACTAATTAAAACTATTTATAGTTATTTTAAAGCAAAACAAAAAAACTCTAATAACTTATTTTAAAATATATATTAATTTTTTTATTAAATAATTAATTTCTAATTGAAAACATTTAAATTTTTAAATAAATAATTCCTTAAACTTTCCCCCTAAACAAAAACCGATATAAAGGTTTCATACAATGCGCAAATAGCTATAGCATTTTTTAGTTTTTTATTGGTTTATTTTTCGGACTTTTAGTAATAATAATTTTTGTCTTCCAACTTTTTTTTATTTATAAGCCCTAAATTACATGGTGTTTAAAAAAGCAATAATTAAAATTGTGTAAGGGATTAAAGTTAAATGTTAAAAAAGAAGATCTAGTGGCTCGTGTATTTGCTGCAACGGAAAACAATGTTCTATTAATAAAAACAGTAGTAGAAGTTGAAGTAGGATTACAAAAAGAATATAATTTGAAACTAAAATTAGACGATATGCAGATACCTAATCCGTTTAAAATTCTTGATGGCTGGATGGACAAACAAGAGGCTATGCCATTATGACCATTCTTGATATATCCAGATATATTTAATTATTTGATTTTTAACCCATCAGAACTTGGAAGTAAAGACTTAGTTGACTAAAAACTCGAAAGCATACAATAGCTATAAATCTTCCTGGCTTCAGCCTCCTAAGTATCGTAGTTTACCAGGTAGTAATTACTGTATATTTAAATCAGAATGTCGAAGATCAAAATCTATCAATGATAAATATCATAAACTGTGGTTTGTATTAGAAAAAAGTGCGAAAATAAAAGCTTGTCATTGTACATGCATGGCTGGCATGGGTCAAACTTGTAATCATGTTGCTGCAGCAATATATAGAGTGGAGACTGCTGTATGAAATGGTTTAACGAATCCTGCATATACAAGCACTTCAAATGAGTGGCTGCCATTTCGAAAAGAAGTAACTCCTAAAATCAAAGACCTTGACTTTAGTTGTGAAAAAAGTAAAAAAAAAAAAATTTGTGAAAAAATAAATATCCTTTATCCAATAATACTGTGCAATTATTAGATATCAATGATGTAGCTTCTGCTCTTGAGAAAATTGTTCCAACAAGCATTTTGTTTACTGCTTTTCCAAAGCCCAAAATAGACTTTATTAATGAAGTTTTGACAAAAGTTGATATGCCACCAATTGATTTACCAAGCATTAACAATGTAATTTCTAACTCTTCATCTTGCGCTGAGTTTTTTACAAGATTAAAAGTAAACATGTCAGTTAAGAATATAAATCAAATTGAAGTATTAATACGGGGTCAAAATGAAAATGAACATTGGTATCACTATCGAAAAGGTGTTATAACTGCCTCTAAGGCAAACCAAGTAGCAACAAATATGGAAAAAATTAAAAAAGCTGTTGATGGGTACCACAACTTTTGGTCACTCAACCAAAAAATATCAGGACTGACCTTTACTAACCCCAATATTCCAGCTTTGAAATATGGTCGTACAATGGAAGTGGAAGCACTGAATGCGTTTTATGTAAATATAAAAGGACAACATAAAAATCTTACTTTAAATGAATGCGGACTTTACCTGGATTATGAACATCCTTATATTGGAGCAATTCCTGGTCGAATAATATCTTGTGATTGCTGTTCTAAAGCTTGTATCGAGGTGAAATGCCCTTACAAAATTAATTTTACTACACCAATAGAATTAAATTTACCAGATTAAGTAAAAGAGGTTGTTGATGTAAAACTTAAAACCAACCATAGATATTATATCCAATGTATTTTACCAATAGCAAAACCAAGTGTTGTGTTACATACTTTGTTGTATGGACCCCACATGGCATAATTATAGATAAAATTAACTTTGATGTTTCCATGTGGAATATATTAAGGAAAAAACTTATTATTATAAA